AGGAAAGGCTCATCAATCGAACTACTAGAAGTAGTATGAAAATAAGAAGTTTAGTTTTAAAACAATTCTATCAAGAAGCATACTTGAAAAGAATGGTTTCGCAAGATCAAAAGATCCAAGACAAGATGAAAACCCTCTTGGTTTAAACATACTTGACACGAAAAATGGACACTTCATTTAACAAAAATTCCTCACAAGAAAAACTCTCAAAAGAGACAACAAAAATGACCACTCAAGGGTGCTTCTAAAATTCGGCCAAGCCTCCTATATATAGGCTTGAATTTTTCGGCCAGCACCTCTAAAAAGAAGACCAATTAGGACTCTCTAATCTTATCTCACAAGGAGTAAACGTAGAAGAGTACTTGATCTCTTTGACTCTATCTAAAATCTAGGAAACCTTATCTAAATCACTTATCCTCAAGTAGGATAATATCTAGAAGGAATCTAAGACTCCTAATCAAAACACTCTAGCTTAATTCAGTCCACATGAGTTATTTAACTAGATAAAATTCGAAAAATTGACTCCTAGACTTAGACTAACTCTAATCTCGAAATTCAGCTCCAAATTATTGAAGTAAAATGTCTTGAACGCCCTTCCAAAAGTGGAATATTGGTCTTGCGCCCCTTAAGTTGTAGAAACCTCCAATTTACTCCAAAACTTGTAGAATTTACCTTATTGACTCTAAAAGATTGGAAAAACACTTGAAACAATTAAGATAGCTTGCAACCTATCCAATTGTGTAGCAATGGACTCAATCTTGAACACTTTGATCAAATAGGCCGTCCACTCATGAACCTAAATGACTCTTCTCACTAGCTTTGATCAATGATCTTCATGGAGCACACAGAGTCAAACTCTCTTGATACTCTTCAGCACTTATTTCCATGAGGTCTTCATCTCCTTTTGTTTGCACCCCAAAGTTAATGACATTCTCATCACCTTGATCATAGCTCTCTTGAACCAACTCCCTATCACATAGGTAGTCAAGATCCATCCTTTCTTCCTTGATTGGCCTGCAAAGTAAACTTGGCATTCCAAATCTAGAATGAAGGATTAACTCATTCCCCTCACTAGGAGAACCTCCATGGAAGGCTACATGATTCTCATCAGTGCATAGCTTCCATAATCGACTGCCTAATCCCTCCTTGGCTGCCTATGTAGACCTTGTCTGATTTCTTGAGAATCCCATTCACAAATTGGAACTCTCTATTGTCGGATGGATTGAGAGTGACATCCGCTATTAATTGATGTGCTTTTACATCTCCCTCGTAGCTCTTTTCCACCTCCTGCATCCAGAGGGGTTGGACTGAAGAAATGGCTTGACATTTTAGCTCACTCACTACTGGTTCTGCTACTTCTGTTTTCCCTGAATTCTGTAGACGGGACAATGCATCCGCCGTCTTGTTCTCAACTCCCCTCTTGTATTGAATTTCGTAATCAAGGCCAAGCAGCTTGGTGAGCCATTTGTGCTGTATAGCAGTCGAAAGCTTTTGCTCTAGGAGGTACCTCAAATTGATGATCTGTTTTCAAGATGAAGTGGTTGCCCACTATATAATGCTTCTATTTTGACACAACCATGACTACTGCCAATAATTCTTTTTCATAAACCGAAAGCCCCATATTCTTGGTACTGAACGCCTTACTTAGAAATGCAATGGGGTGTTGCTCTTGCAGCAGAACTGCCCCCATCCCCGAATCACATGAGTCTGTTTCGATGATAAAAGGCTCCGAGAAATCCGGCAACTATAATATGGGAGCTGTTACCATGCATGGCCTATTTCAGTTTATCGAATGCTTTCGTGGCCTCCTCATTCCATAAAAACCCATCCTTCCTTAACAGTATGGTGAGTGGCCTGCAAATGATCTCGTAACCTTGGATAAACCTCCTATAGTAGCCGGTTAGACCAAGAAATCCCCTAAATTCCTTCACATTTGTGGGTATCGGCCAATCCTGAATACATTTAACTTTTCCAGTGTCCATACTAACCCCTTGGGATGATATAACATGTCCAAGATACTCCATTTTTCTCTCCACAAACACACACTTGGACTTTTTAGCAAAGAGCTATTGTTGCTGTAGAATTTGAAAGACCATTTTCAAATGCTCCAAGTGTTCCCCCTGGGATCTGCTATACACCAAAATGTCGTCAAAAAACACTAGCACACATTTTCTGAGCAAACCCTTGAAGACATGGTTCATCAAGGATTGAAACGTTGCTGGGGCGTTGGTGAGTTCGAAAGGCATCACTAGGAATTCGAAATGCCCGTGGTGCGTTTGAAACGCCGTTTTGGGTATATCTTGTGGCCTCATTCTGATCTGGAAGTACCCGGATCTTAAATCCAACTTGGAGAAACAACTTGCACCTCCCAACTCATCCAAGAGCTCTTCGATCACAGGTTTCGGATATCGATCCTTGATGGTCAAGTCGTTTAGCCTCCTGTAGTCTGTACAAAACTGCCATTCACCACCCTTTTTGCCAACAAGCAATACCGGGGACGAGTACGGGCTGGTGCTGCGTTGTATGATCTTGTTCTCCATCATTTCGTCCACCTGTCTCTTAATCTCATCTTTGTGAGAGTGTGGATAACAGTATAGTTTAATTTTGAAGGGTTGAGCCCCTGGCTTTTATTCAATGTTGTGTTCTATCTCTCGCTTGGGTGGCATTCCAGTGGGAACTGCAAACACTGATTGATACTGCTCAAGTAACTTTTCAAACTGGTCAGGCAATATCCCCTTCTTGGAATCCTCCAATGATAAGCTCCTTTAGGTTGGTAAAGAGTTTTACAGTATCTCTTCCTCTTTTTGACTTCCAGATATTCTCTTAGATCGGCCTGCCTGATCATGTTTACAGAAAGATCTTGAGTACCTCCATACAACACATATCTCCTCGGTCCTCTGGTGAGCTGTATATTGTCATTATCATAATAAAAAATGACAGGACTAAAGTGGGACATTGAATCTACCCCCAGAATGATATCCAACCCACTAAGGTCCATTACCTTGAAGTCAAAGGCAAACTCGTATTGTTGTATATCCCAGCAAACTTCAGGACACATGTATGAACCCACACTGATATTTCCATCCACCATTTTGATACAGAAAGGTTGCACTGAGTGATAATGAAGGGACAAAGCTCTAACCACACTGGGATCTACAAAACTAGAAGTACTTCCCGTATCAATGAGAATATTCACCCATTTTCCTTTTATCCTACCCCTGACTATGATTGTTTGCCTCTTTGCTTTATCATCCATAGCATTTAGGTACAATCGTCTCACTCCTTCTGTGATAATTTCCTCATCAGGGGTTTCAAAGATTTCCAAATCAGAGTTTCTATCCCTTCTTCTTCAGTTACCACAAAATAAACTTTACTCATACTACATTGATGCCCGGGACCATACTTTTCACCACACCTGTAACAGAGATTGTGGTTTCTCCTATACTGCACTTCTTGAGGGGTGATTCTTTTGAATTTATTATGGCTAGGGTGAGGCCTCTGATCTTCCTGTCTCCATGCTATACGGGAAGTAAGTGATTTACCTGTAATGTTTGGCAGTTTTTGCACACTAGTTTTCTACAGTACAGAGATATCCATTGCCTCTACTAAGGTAACAGGTTTCATCATCCATACGGTGGGTTTAATTTCTTCCTTTAACCCACTAATATAGCTGGAAATGAAGTAAGGCTCGGTCAACCTGGGATCTTTGGTTAGAATTTTTTATCTCAGGAACTCGAATTGTTCTATATACTCCAACACTGAGCCCTGTTGTTGAAGTTTATTAAACTCTTCGAATTCGTCTCTGCCCCCCTTTGATTTCGAATCTCTTCACCAAGGCTTAACTAAAATTCTCCCAAGTTATTTCGCCTTTTCCGGTTCTGAATCCTTCAAACCAAATTTCAGCCCTGCCGTCCAGCACGAACTCCACCATTTCTACCTTCAAGTGGTCTGGGATCTGATAAAAGGTGAAATATTTCTGGCACTTTCTAATCCACTCTCGGGGATTATCTCCTTCAAAATGGCTCATCTCTACTCTGGGTTGGTTGTATCCCCAATTAAACTTGTTCCCTTTGTCTTTGTTAACCCATGGTGAATCTTCCTCAATAACTACCTTGGGGGATTTATCCGGTGAAGGCAGTATTTCAGGTTTCTCCACTCAGAAGATGAACTCTCTCCTTTGAACGCAAATTTCTCCTTTACCATGATTTGCGTCCAAGTTTCAATCTTTTCCAAGTGTGCCTTTGTACTCTCCTGGTAGTTTTTCAGTTGCGATTTTATGCCCAGAATGCTATTATCCATGTTAATCATCCTCGTATCAAAAGATTGAATATTATTATCAATCTTTTTTTCCACTATCGAGACCGATTCATGGATAAATTTCTTAATCTGCTCATCAGATCTTGTTTCGACCATCGTTACCCACAGTCGGAGAATCCGAGCTCTGAATACCAATTGTTAGCCACCGCCCTATTTGAATCCTTAAAATTTACAGATTATGACGAAAGAGAAAGAATCATCAATGGAGGGGGAAAAATCAGAAGAGGGAGAATAAAAGAAACCGAGGGTAGAAAGGGAGAAATTTAAGGAGAAATCGGATAATATCAAATTTATGGATACCTCCCAGAGTACATAATATAGCTGGCAGACTCCGTCTTACGCTCCTGTTAACGTTAACAGAATCTTAATTTAACTAAGCAACAAGAAAACTGATCCCTTCTAGAAGTTGAAGGTTCCAAAAAATCTAATACAAGAAGATAGGAAGTAAGATAAAAAATGCTCAGCTCTGGATTCGAAGCTGGAGTCTGCTGACGTCAATAATTAATTTACTAAAATGAGAAATTAAATAAAACAGCCAAAGCGTGACAGAGTGCCTCTTTTTCTAATTCAATCCTATTTAATGAGGAGACTTTTACTTTTGCAATTCCGTACAATCTATTAGGATTTTGATTATGTTGGTTACTCAATTTAGATATTTTGTAATAGTTTTTCTTTTTTGGTGGGAAATTATAAGTATTAGTACTTTGCAAAATAGAATTCAATATCTAACTTTTTTTTACCGACTTTCTAAAGAAGTAAAAAGATTAATTGAAGCACAATAAAAGTAGTTTTATTTAATTTATGTTAAATTTCAATCCCCAAATCCCCAGCCCACCGTCAATTCACCTTCATCTTCTCCTCTGTTCTCAAATCTTTGAATCTTCCATTTTCCAATCAGCTCGAGAGCTGCCCGACCGTCCCTCATCTATTTTCTTTTTAAAAGTTCTAAGACCTCCATTTCCTCCACCGTTTTCAGCAAAAATCAACCCAACAGCTTCCTGCAACCATCCATTCCATTTTTATGTTCCTAGATAATAAAAATTAAAGGGGGAAAGGAAGAATTGAGCTATGGAGCCGAAAAGGAAGGGAGGAAAAAGGATGAAAGAAAACGGAATTTAGGACTGTCGTTCAAGGACCTAATTCGAAGGAGCAGAGTTTTAACCTTGGAATTTATCTAGGTAATATACTAATCTCCCTAAAGAGTTCTAATTGAAATTTGTCTATTGAATCATAGCAGCTAGGATCCGTCGAATCTGTCTCTTCATTTAGTTTTAGGTGTTATTAATTTGTATAGGTTGTGGATTACTTTGACAGTACATGGGGGCCAAATAATTTGATGGCGTTTGTTGGTTTGAATGCTCGCGGTTAATTAGAGCTTCCGTTTTCTTTCTTTCAAGCATGTGAGCATGTGGAAATCTGATCTTATTAGATGTTTTTGCTTGGAAAATAAAAGAGAAGCTTATAGATTGAATTATTGAAATAGGGATCCTGCAGTGTAGTTTTCTCTTTTGTTTCTAATTGCTATTAACTTTAAATCAAGAAAAGGTTGTGGAGCAGCATCTGAGAACAAACAGGGTAAACAATTATTGATTACAATGACTCCTGAGATCGTTGATACTGTCCAAATTTTCTTATAGTTAAACTGAACCTAGTGGGTATTTCCTAAAATAAAAGGGGTAGAATATTTGTTTCTGGGTAGCAGCAGAAACTTGGCATCTCCTCAGTCCTCTTCCTTAAATCTTTTAATTCAGGTTCATTGTGTTTAGATAAAAAAATATAAGACTGACCTAATGACTAAACATTAGGTAATTACATTTATGTAAAGAAGGTACACATGGAGCCCAACTTCTGCTGTATATGCAACAACACTAGCTTATCACTACTGGTTAAGTTAACCTTACTGTTCATTGAATATATATATATATATATATATATATATATATATATATATAGGGGACTGATGAACCTTAAAGAACCGTAGAACTCATAAATATTATAGACTCCGTTTTGATTTTGTTACCAACTGGCACTAGCTTACCCCCTGTAGCTTCAACTTTGCAAGTGACCTTAATAACTTAATTTGCAGATTTGGTAGTTGAATCTTTTGGCACCTTAGAAGCTTACTGGTACGATCTGTTGTAGCTGAGGAAAAGGTGTTCCCCACCTCACTTTGAAAATTTACTTTACTGTCTTTGTTAAATATTTATTTAAGTTTTTGTAATTTGCTTGTGCAATGTATGCGAGTGTGATTGTGTGGATATTGTTCCGAGCCGTGTGCGATGCTTGTGCATGATATGTGGGACTTCGGTCCGTGATTCTCTGTGGGGTCTTGCGTGCTATATCGCTTGGTCCGGAAAATTGTTTTTGGTTGATCCATTGTGAAAGTGTGACATCTTGGATAAGAAATTGTTTGGGGTTACTGTCCGTGGTTGATTCTTAGCGTAGTGTGGCGCCCTGAATCGGAAATGCTTGGGGCCATTGTGACCTCTAGTTTGCTGTGTGGTCTGCCTATGTCCTTGGCTCGTGATTATATTATGTGGAGACCTCTAGCTTGCTGTGTGGACTGGCTATGTCTCGAGTTGCATGTGGAGTCTTCGCACAAAGTCACGTTGTTATCGAAAAATTATTTGCTCATGCGTGTGATTTAATTTATGGCTATAATGCATGAGCGCATGTGAAAAAAGCGTGATTGTATGAAAACTGTTTTTTTTTCTTTTTTAAATTGTGAGGAACACCGTAACCTATTGTTCCGCAGGTTCTGTTGGCAAGGGCGTTAGCTCATTGGATGAAAGGATATAGTGAGTAAGCACTGGGTGTATTATAGAGATTGAGTTTTTGTTATTTTAAAGGTTGTGCATTTTAACAACACTTTTATGTTGTAGAATGGTTTTGAAAACTTTAAAATGTAGCTAAATTTTCTGTTTAAAATCCTGGGCATGTTATGGAAACAGGTTGATTTTAAGTTTTGGATGGATCATAAGTTCTGTTATCTTTTCTTTACTTTGTTACCGGAGAAAGGTCTATCTTAAAGGTTTGAATGTAATTTTTTTAAAAATTACTTGACACCTCCGGCAAGCCTTGGCTCCAAAGTTTTGGCTGCAATATAAATTTGTTTTCTTTTATCAATTATGTTAAGCTTCTGCAGTTGACTTTCAAAGTTAGCTTAATATTTTATGTGTGAGACCTAGCGTGAGCAAGGCAGAGGTTTATCTAAGGCTCCTTTGTCGGATATAAGCTGATTGGAGCTAGTAGAGGACGTCACAGAATGGTATCAGAGCATAGTTTCACTCAAAAGTTTTGAAAAATTAAGATTGATTTTTTTTTTTTTTTTTGCGTGTGTGAGCATGGTTTTCACTCAAGTATTAAGAAAATGATTTTCGTAACCTCATTTTTGGGTATGATTTGAACTTTTTGCTGAGATTATGAGATACACCCTAGAGTGGAAGGTTAGGTTGTGGAGGATATAATTCAGGACCTAAGGTGTGAATTTTTTTATTAAGGCTAAGGTTTAAACCTTCGCGAGAGACGATTGTGAAGCTTTTGCAGGAATTCTCATTGATCCTCTTGGGTTGCGCAACCTATAGAGTTGATTCAATGTTTTTCTTGTTTTAAGCTGAACAATATAAGGTGGGGGCAAAGTGTAGTATCTATCTTTGGAGAGTACCACTGGAACAGGGAAGATGATGTAGTCTAGTTTTAATAAGCAACAGGAAATGCTAAGGGCCAAAACTTGGTTTCTAAAGGGCACATATTGTAAGTATCCTTAGGCTCTGTTTGGTTGGATTGAATTGGACCCAAGAATTGGAATTTGAGGCCTCCAATTACAATTCTTGTGTTTGGCTGATAAAAATAGACCTTCCAGAATTGGAATTATAATTCAAGATGGGGCTCAATTCTTTATTTTCAATTCTTTTGTGGGAGTAAATAATTACAATTCGAATTCCAGGGACTATAGTAAAAACGCGGGTCGCATGTGGGTCAATTACCGGGTTATAAAGAAAGGGGGCCCTTTTTGTTTTTTTTGTTTCCTCCTTCGCGCTGCTTCCTTTTTCTTTTCGTCCCCCTTCTTTGAGCTGTAGACATTCTTTTGTTTTTTTGTTAAATTAACATTTGTTTTTATTTATTGTGCGAACGAGGAGTACATCAATTTGATTATTATTAATGAGATCTATACATTAAAATTGGTATTGTATTTTTCTTGACAAAAACTACCAAATGTATAACTATACCCTTAATTTATTAAGAAAATTAAAGGTATTAATTATGGGTTAACAAGTTTTTTTTTATCAAATGTATAAATAATTTTTGAACTATGCTTGAAATTTTTTTCACTAAAAAATATGTAAGCTTTCAAGAAGTCGAAATATATATTATTCCATGTATAATTATATACTAAAAATAAAAATAATTAATAATTACCATGTATTAATGTTAATTTATACATAAATAAATGGTCTTTACTTTCAACTATATAAAACTTTTCCACTTAAACCCAAAAAAAAAAAAAAAACTAAAGATTAAAAATTTATAAAATAATAAAAAGGAGAGGAACAAGGATGTTCTACATGTTACTTGTGAGAATTCCAATCATCGCATTAATATTGCTTATGTAATAATAAAAATAAAGTTTTCCGCAAGTATGTATGTATCTAGTAAATTATAAAATTGATATATATTACTCAGATAACTAAAGTTCTAATATAAATGTACATAATAAATTTATTTTTTTATCTTATATATGTAAGTAATAAATTGCTTTGACATATAAAATTAAGTATTTCTTTTATTCAATGAAATAAAGTACTAAATTATAGTTAGATAATAAACAACTAATTCTAATTCTAGATTTTATAAATCAAAAGAATTGGTATTAGAATCTTAATTCTAGTCAATTCTTAAGATATTCCAAACAAAAGAATTAGGATTGAATTACAATATTAATATCTCATTATCAATTCAAAAGTATTGTAATTTTAATTCAATTACAATTCAATCTAACCGAACGGAGCCTTAGGCTAAATGTTTCCCTTTGTTTATCTTTGGTCATTAACTGAAGGTGGAACCTGCACCTTTGTTTGATTATAAACCTTGGGAATTGATTATGAAATTTCATTTCTGTTTAGATACCTAAAATAGTACTTAGTTATTGTCTTCGACCTTAGGCATTGTTGTTTGAATGTAAGTATCATCTTGATTGGTTCTTTCGTCTCTCTTATCTAGTTTCAGCTGAGATAGTGTAAATATGAGAAGAGTTGATAGGTGCCAGGTTCAGAGTCATATTCTTAGTAGTTTTAACAAGCATACGTACCCTCTTTTAATGTTAATCATAACTAAGATTCAGGGACATCTCAGAGAGAACCTTGAAACTTTTGGGGAAAAAAAAAAAGTAAATATCTAAAACCATTTTTGAAATAACATACTTGTAATCATGAGCGTAATCCATTGTTCAAGATTTGAATAATCTTGTTGAGTAGGTGACAAGGTATCTGATGCCTACAATCTGCAAAATGGGATTTGTGGTTTGCCCAGCAACTCTACATGAAAATGGCAAATTAGTCACTAGAATACTGATTCGTGCGACTGTTTTCGGAGTTTCTTTCTTTTGATAAATTTCTTCTACTTTTGATGTGTTTATGGTGGTTGGACGGAGTTGAAATGGGGTTATAGTTTGTCCAAAAAATCAGATTTGGAGAGAACCAACCTGCCACAAAATTCTGTATTTCCTGAAAATTTTCAGCTTTGAATTGCTGTTTGTGGTGTCCATTTTCTCCTATGTTGTGAACGCTTTTTTTCGATTTCTTTGGATAAAATACCTCTTTGTTTATCCTAGTTTACACTGGTTTTGACAGCTTGCGAATTAGACTTTTGGTTTAATCGAAACGGGCCTTAAATGTTACCTTGTTACCGTTATTTTTCTGAATTTTTCAAAACTCGAAAGATGTGAGAAGCTAACTTTTAGACATGGGTTTTCCTTGACTTTTCTCACGAACCATCTGCTCGTAATTTTCATGATTAGAATCAAGGAGAATGTGGAGGAGAATCACCGAATTGTGCCCTCGTATCACCGCCTTGAACTCAAAATCATTAGTTCCGTCCTCTTTTTATCATCTTTTTTTTGTTTATTTTTTTTACAAAACCAACAATTTGTTGTGGGATGGATAAAACTGACGGAATCGTCTGATCCGACTGATTCCGAAAAATTCTAACGATTTCTGACAAAGCGTGCAACAAAGACTTATATGCAATCTGGGATTGATTTTCGAATCTCGAGTTTGTAAACTATAGCTACATAATTCCCTTTTCTTTCGCTGTTGTTCGTATGTTTTTTCGGTCCCTTTTCTTCTCTTCCTCCCTTGAGGTTTCGCCTTCCATAATTTAGTTTATTTTCTTATTTGAAGTTTGAATATTGTTCCTGGTCTAATTTTAGCCCAGAAAGATCTTAAAATTCCGATTTAAATGTGCAAAGATTGATTTGCGTTTTGTCTAATTTGTCCATATTTGTTGTTTTTGTTCAGGTTGGTTGCAGTACGGGATGATTTGGTAAAAGGATTTTGTGACTTTATTGTATGATTTTGAGCATTTGAATTGAATTGGATCAACATAACTCGGGGATACGGTGCATTTTTTTTTTTTTATAGAATATTAAGGAAGATTTGATGAATTGTGAGACCTTTATTTTGGTTCTTCTGGGATAATCTAGAGAATGGGATACTTGAATTCCGTGTTATCATCATCTAATCAAGTCCTTGCTGACGATGCCCCTGTTAGCGGTGGTGGTCTAAGGTATATTGATATGACATATGGAACATGTTTCTATTTTACAATCTTTGAGATGTTTGGTACTCTTTTATTTTCTTACTTTGAATATTGCATGGTTCTTTGTTTTTAAGGTTTCGAATGTTGTTCAAATGTCAATTGTGGTTTCTCATTATGCAATGGTGTATTTGTGGTAGCATGTTCATCTCTGAAGTTGGAACTGGTATTTATTTTATGTTCATTTGCTTTTTTGAACTTTGTTATGCTTTAATCTTTATGTTTTTGCTACTAATGTGCTGGAGAAAGTAGTTATGTTGGTTAATTGTAGATGAAATTGGCGTTTATAATGGATTGGTAACGGGACAATTCCAAGAGGATCTGGCATTAAATTGTGATTTGATTTAAAATATTGCATTGCAGATGATATTTATTTGATTTATCATTGTAATCTACCTTAATTTCTGTCAATTATTTCTCTTAGTTCCAACTCAAATATTTGGGGTGCGCTTGGTTGATTTTCTGAGTTTACGAGCTACACTCTTACCTATTGTGAAGGATAATACATTTTTCTTCATTTTGTGCATTTATGCAACCTCATTATCATTGATACAGTCGCCATGCAGTACTGAGGCATGATGGCTCACCTTTTCTATGATTTTATAATGGCTTTGTTATTGTATTAGGGATACCTTTTGTTCCTCACATTGGTAACTTGAAATCTTGTTCCTGTCTCACTATGTTGCTTTTGTGTATGCATGAGAATGGTATCTTTAGTAAGTTTCAAATCCTGTCCCTGAGCAATGTCAAGCATGTGGGAGTATGGTTTGATTCGGTATTTTTCATGAGTATAAACATTTTAAGTTTAATAAATACTTGATCAGTGTTAGCCGCTTTAGTGAAAAAGATTACATATTATGCATGTTCATATGAGTTGAATCTTTTAACTTTTTTGAAGACATGATACTGCCTCTCATATGATTGATGAGGCTTTTGTGAAAGTTTTGCTGATTAATAATGTCTCTTTGTGTAAGTAATGAATTCGAAATGATGTAGACATTTTGGTGTTATTATTCACACAATTTGGTTGCTTGGCTTTCTTAGGAGAAAACCTTCCTCCGCCCCAAGCATTTACTTTATTCTAGGAAAAGTTTGTTTTTTTCAACCTTTCGTCTCTATCAAATGATTGTGTGTGCAAGATTGAAAGAGCAAGTGTATAAGGTAGTTGCTCCACTTGTTTAATACCTCATTAAATGTGTCACACACCCGAATTCAAAATAAATTATACATTTTCCAAAAATGAACTCTTCTTTTGGGGCAGAACCAATACCCTTTCTCATATTTATGTTGTATTACGTCTTGCATGTCTAACTAGTTGGAAATTAATACTTGCTAAATTGTAGTTGTTTATTTTAATAATTCAATGGACTTGCTGATTTTGTTGTTATTATTGATCAAGTTGTTGAGTTTAAGAGTACATCATTAGCTAAATATGTATAATTTTACATTATTTCTCCATGGAAAATTCTAGCTTGTTATATTCTTGAATTTCTAGTTCAATAAAATAATGTTCAATTTTCACAAAATTTGACGTAACGTACTCGTAACCAACTGATCTTGAATTAAGAGTTAATATTTGTGACCTTCTCTTGCACAAGGGAACATTACTTTTAATGGAAAGCTTTTTGCATACATGTCTTGGATTTCAAGATTGTCACTGTATATGTGGTACTACATCTCTGATAATCATGATAGTGTTTTGCTTGTGATTGGTAGTTTTACCATTTCGTAAATCCTTATCTCTTCCCCCTAAAATTATGCAAATCTGGAAATCTTTGTTGAATTTCGTATGGCATTCGATTCATTTAGGCAGTTTTAATTTTTCTTATTTTAGTTTATGTGGTCCTTTGCACAGCCAAAATGGGAAGTTCAGTTATGGATATGCAAGTTCTCCTGGGAAAAGGTCTTCAATGGAAGATTTTTATGAGACAAGGATTGATGGTGTTGATGGAGAGGTTGTTGGTCTCTTTGGGGTGTTTGATGGTACTACTCACCACTCTTTTTGATTTTTGTATTTAGTGTACCTATAATAACAAGAAGAGAGTTAGAGGAAAAATGTCCATGGTCCAATTCACTCCATATTTTATTTACCGAAATAGAAAAACATAAAGTTATACTTGTAGTTTTCAGTTTTACTATATCCGTGTGTATATGCAGTATATATGACCAAGCCTTAAGTTCACCTTGTGTTTGCAATACGCTACTTTGGAATGTTGCTGGGTGTTTTGGCGCCTTCAACATATGAGTCTAGTTTAGGCTTGTTTATTACCGTGGTAGTGCTATGAGGTGGAAGCTTTACAAGTATCCAACTTCCAGTCATGTTTTTATTATGATTGAGGTGGAAGCTTCTTGCCTGATATGAAATTTCATATTATTGTCCAATTTAAAACTTCATGTTTGTCTTATTTACTGTGGTAGAGCTACTTCCAAAACATCATTTCATTCAAATTTTGTTAGATTATCTTATAATGATTTCTCTGAGCATAGGCGCATATAAATAGTTTATGTTAATTTCAGGCTTCGCGATGATGGCAGCTTGAGCTTACATAGTATGTCGAAATTAATGAAATGCTAACTTCATGTGATGTCCTAACATCCATTCTCAGGTCATGGAGGGGCAAGGGCTGCAGAATATGTCAAGCACAACCTCTTCAATAATCTCATCAGGCATCCAAAATTCATTTTTGATACAAAGTCAGCTATAGGTACATTTATTATTTGATGATTTCCTTATTGTCATTTGAATACTCTCTTGATGCATCTCCAACACTTTTGTTCTTTTCTTCCTAGCTGATGCATACAGCCATACGGACTCAGAGTTCCTGAAATCTGAACACACTCAAAATAGAGATGCTGGATCCACTGCTTCTACTGCTATCCTTGTTAGAGATCGTTTATTGGTTGCTAATGTTGGGGATTCTAGGGCTGTTATTTGCAGGGGCGGCAATGGTAAGTCCAAACTAGAACTTTCTCTTAGAAGTTGTGGTTTCTTTTTTGGGTAGGCTTTAGATTAGACTCCATCATCAATGTGTTATTACTTCCAAAATAGTTATTCTTTCATTGTGTTTCTCATTGTTAAACTTTATAGTTACTTTATGTACTGAATTTACATATACGGTATGGATTCCCATTACAATTTAACACATGCAATGTATCTTATAATATGTATCCATTCTACTAAATTTTAGCTATCCATTTCACGAACTTAGTGTTCCATTAGCTGACCCATGCAGTGGGATGAAGCCTGAGTAGTTACTATTGTTGTTAATCTGTGTTTTATTTTCTTTTCCTGCATTTACCTTATCCTGTCTTAGTTGCACCTGTAGTTTTGCTCAATGAGGTGACGATGTATATATTAGTAATTTCCAGATAGCAGTATGTAGAAATTGATGTTGTCCCAGCTGTCTTCAGTTACAATCCATTTCATCCTTTTTCACGAAATATCTGTTAAATGAGCCACCATTTTTGTTAATAATCTTTATGCATGCCATAAGTTTGTTTGGGGATTAACAGAAACGGGAAAAAAAAGGTGTCAATCATTTTGGGATTGAGGAGAGTTTTTGGAACTTAATATTTGCTCATAGTTGCTACTATATGTTGTACATACACATGGATCGTTGGATTATGTTGGTTTGAGAAACATTGCAGCAAGGCAAATCGTGAAATTGCAATTTCTTGGTTTAATAGTTAGTCACCATACTTTGTGTTCCTTTAAATAAGGTTTACTCTTTTGATATATAGCAATTGCTGTGTCACGAGATCACAAGCCCGACCAGAGTGATGAACGTCAGCGTATTGAGGATGCTGGTGGTTTTGTGATGTGGGCAGGTAAATTTTTTCAGTGACTGATTTGTTTCTTAAAAGTTCATATTCCATTTGGCAGTTACATTATTTGGGATTTTTAAATATCAGGAACTTGGAGGGTTGGAGGTGTCCTTGCTGTGTCCAGAGCATTTGGAGATAGACTTCTGAAGCAGTATGTAGTTGCTGATCCAGAGATTCAGGTATGGTTGATGAACTTTGGGCTATAGGAACTTGCTCACCCACTCAACAGATAGTGCTGCATTTGTTACTTCTAAGTGAATCACATTTTATGGTGCACATTTCAAGTAATAGATTAGGTTTGAACGCTTACTCTTTGTTATGATACATTAGTTTAATGAATTGTTTTTTTGATGGCTTGGGGGGTGGGGTCGGGGTCTTCATCTACCTAATGGTGTTTTCCGGTGCAAATATCTATTGAGTTCTGAGAATTTCGGTTGGACTCTGTCTATAATTATAGTATAATACCCCTATGTATATCGTTTAAGCTATACATATCTTTTTGTGTTAGTCTCCTCACATTTGATTGGCAATTGACACATTTTTAAGAAAGTAAACTGAAAAATTTTCTGTTGACAATACACAGGAAGAGAAGGTTGATAGTTCACTTGAGTTTCTCATCCTTGCAAGTGATGGGCTTTGGGATGTTGTGACTAATGAGGTCTGCAATCAGTCTTTTCATGTATACTTTCTTTAGATCATCTTCTCTTGTGGGTGCTTGTCTTCCTGATTAAACTTCATGTTCAATATTCAGGAAGCTGTTGGTATCGTTAAGCCAATTGAAGAACCAGAGGAAGCAGCAAAAAGATTGTTGCAGGAAGCACATCAGCGATGCAGCGCAGACAACATTACTATTGTGGTTGTACGCTTCATGGCTGGAAAGGAAGGATCCTCTCATAGCAGTTCGAGTTGAGGAGCGGTCTTCTCTTTTCCCTGTATACTTCATTGGTCACTTCCTGATGGAGAATGAACCTTTAAGAATAAAGGTTTACCGAATAACAAAGTATAGACATAAAGACCTCCAAATCTAGAATAAGTGCCATAGACAGAAGTGTAATTTCTCTATTATGTTGTTTGTCATCAGTTAACAGTCTCTATTCCGTTGTGGGTATGCAGATTGACTCATTTAGGGTTATAGTTCAGGTGATATGATATATTGTTGATGAGATTGCAGAATGTTTTCATTCGAAATGTTTATATACAAGCAACATGCCCGAGCTGTTACTCGAATCGAAGATAGATTTTAATGATTGTCATTGAATAAATAATTTTTTTTATTAAAATGATTGTCTAATTTGAATTTTCATTATTAGTACAATCGTTTTGAGGCTGGTACAGAGCGTGTTAATTTAATTTTTTTAGGTAATGTTATAAGATGTGTTAAACAAAAACATTTACGTATTTCCTATTGTTTTAGGAGACTTTCATGTTCTAATTTTTTTTTTAAAAAAATTAATTTGTTTCAGGCCTTTCCGCCACGTCTCACAAAATGGATTGACAAAAGAGATTAGAAATTAGGAAGATTTTTTCCATGATTAGAGAGATGAGATAGAACAGGATAACCTAGGGCTAATTCCCGATCTCCTTATGCTGTAACAAGTTTTAGAGCGAAAGTATTTTCCAATTTCTTCTCTATCTGACTACCAAGCACTTGATTATGTAACAGGTGCTTAGCTTATACTTATAACTAGATGCTTGGCCCGGCCAAAAGACCGGCAGGCCGTCTTCAGATATTTTTTTTCGAATATTCTATGACATTTCTTTATGAGGTTAAATTTTCTTATGACAAAATAATAATAAAATTATTATTTAAGAGTTAATTTATACATTCTTGTGGGATGAAGGCTTATTTGTATTCAAGTATTTGTTTACTCTTTAAAATATTAAATACAGAATCGTTATGATTGAAAATTATGTTCAAAAATTTATTTAGTCGGCAGTCTATTTCATCAAATCTAATTAGATGAAGATGAGACAATGAGGATTTGGTAGATACTGCAAAATAATTTTGCATTACATCGCTGGTTCATGGTCGAATAGACGATACCATCGATAGTGAGGATCATTCACCGGGTCGTCGATCATTCACTCGGATCGTCGATTGGATCTCTAACCCAAATTAATGACACGCGAGTTTCGTCTTTTTCTCCTAGTCGAACTCATCCATTGACGCTGGCTGGACTTTTTTTGGGGCTTGTTGTCCCTTTTGCTGAATTGAAGTAGAGTTTTATCACTTTTTTTAAAATGAATATATTACAATGACAATATATATACATTTATTTACTGAAACAATTGTCTAACATTTCGATCTTTGTACCCGCCTTTAATATTTTGATTCCATGAGTAAATATATATCTATATAAATAATTTATTTATGTATCACATTTTTCTTTATTCAAAATCTTAATAATTATTATTTCACAAGGGTTGCGACACACATTTTTACATTGTATAAAAAAAAGTCAAACAACAATGTAACGGGTTTAACATCTGGTAAAATTAAAAAATATACAAATATAGATTCATTTAGAGAGCCATAAAAATAAATGGATTATACTATTTTTGGGACTTTCAGTAGTCATTTATCCAGCCATAACTTAAAAGATGTAGACCCCCCATATGGAAAATCTAATCCCAGTAATGATATATACGATTATACGCCATGATAAGCAAAAACTTGTTGCTAGTTTTCCAACGACAGACCATTTCCCATCCTTTACCCTATATAGTTTCATCAACAAAACTTAATCAATAATCCTTCTCTATTCATCAAATCCTTTAGCCACATCATTCGATCTCCAGATTCTACGTATCTGTCAAATCCACCTCCTAAGCATCAAAAGAGTAGCTAGAGGAATTGTCCCTGGTGAAACTAAAATCGATTCATCCACAACTCTCAGCCATCCCCATTACTCTCAAGCTCATCTTCATATCCTTCACAATTAGGCAGCCTTGGTAATGCCAGAAGGTACTCACCATCGGCTGGGATAAATCCCGAATCAACTAAAAACACATCAGCAAGCAATTCCGGTCCAATGTAGTGAAATCTGTGTTCCCAAACAACAAACTGCAACAATTATAATGCTTATAGTAGTTGGTTTGTCGAATAACATTCAGCAAAATGACACCAAAGAAGAGAAATGGAGATGAGTAATCACTAAAGCATAAAGATAATTATACACTGAGATTATATATTCTCCATGTATTGATTTCGTCCTTCTTCATTCTCAAGAAGATTTATAGCATGTATAGAGACAATGATGGTCAATACCAGTGCGATAGAGCAACCACATAATAGCCCTGCATCCCGGAAAATACATCAAAAAAGTTGTATAATATAACACTGAAATCATATGATCAAAACAAACAATAAGCTTCGCCCTAACATCAGTAGAAGCCAATAATTATCATACACAAAAGCCTGTTATAATCTCCCCTCCATTTTCTTCAAGTCGTTCTTGCTGAATGACAAATCAGACATCAAGCTGCCAAAGAAACTTTACCAAGTCAAAACCGGAGTATCGCAATCGAAGTTGATCCTAACTTGATCCAAGACTTGTAATTGAGGATGCGTAGAAATTTCCTCTTTATCAGTTTCTGTTTTAAGTAACAAATCTGATTTGAAAAGAAAAAACACTATTGAACATGATTGAAGGGATAAATCATCATATCAAGCTATTTAGAAATTTTGCAGGGATTATTTCTTGTGTTTATCAAATTAAATTGAACTAATCATCCAGAAAGAAAATCAAAACTACCACCTTTATTCTTTAAAAGCAAATAGAATCCTGAGACGTGTAGGCCTAACTGGTAATATGGAATTGGGTTAACCAACCAATGCTTCTCGTGTCATTTGGAGGAAAAATTACTTGAACGAAAAAAAGCCCAGTAAACAATAGATAACCCAAATCAATCAATAATTAAATTTACCTTGAATATAAGGAGGTTCATGAAAGAATTCTCCGTCAACCAACTCTTTAAAAACCACACTGCTCTGCCAAAATTAATGTAGGAAAGAAAAAATCCCCATTTTCAAGAACACTTCAGTCATTGAAACCCATTAGTAAAATATATCAAACGTCCTTAAAAGGAGAAATTATCAAAAAAGAATAGAACCCAAACAGAAATCCTAAATAAAAAATTGCCCTTACCTTTTTATATCAGCCGCCGCTTTCTACCTCGATCCATCGTCCTCTGGCCCTTCGTCCACCGATTGTCCAATCTTTCGTATTCAAAGGGGATTTGATTCCGCGACCAATAATTCGCACGCGTTATTCAGCATGATGATTGCAGTATTTCAATTGATCTCAACTGTAACAGTAACATTGATCTCACTGATTGACCGTTTTGGTGCCTATGGCTTTTTTAACAAATAATAATATCTATGCAAAAAATGACGGAGATCTTTGTTGTATATCTTACCATAATGCCCGAATCAAGCCGAATTGGATTGTTCCTCTTTCTCCTCTTTGACGTCTTCGTCAGAGAAGATCAATATTGGGATCAAAAGCTAGAGGTTATCAAAGCGACCGACTCCAGATCCGACACTGTCGCTTAGGGATTTCTATGCCGACCAAAGATGAGAGAAGCGGCCAGGAGGAAACTCGAGGTGGCACAGGTGATGCTGGAATGCTGAGTAGCCGATTGAATCATGAAAAAAAGAGAGATTATAGAATTTGAATGAAGTTTAGGAAGGTCCAAATGAGAGTTTTGAATTTTGATTTTACAGATTTAATGGGATTTATTGTGATCGGGAAGAATTTGTGCTGAGGAAGCTATTCATCTTGAGAGACTTTTACTCCGGATTTTATTACGATTGGACATTTGAATTTGAATTAATACATCCATTCGTTTGAAATGTAAATGATCCTTATTTGTAGTAAAACATGTGTTTTTTTTTAAAAAAAATTATATAGCTTCTAATTAAAAGAGACTTACACGTGGCAAAAAGACTCCTGAAATATGAAATATGGTGCATTGGAGCCAAAACAGATGCATACATAGTTGCCACATAAGCTTCATGTCTTCTGCTTTAATAGGGTAAAAGGGATAAGTAGTACCTATTGATGAAAGGGGGCTCTAAGGGATCAGGAGCGAAGACGTGTCGAAGTGAAAGCCCCTGAGATTATTGAACCTAAAACATAGGTAGCTTTGTCAACGTGAAATTGCTCCCTTTTACCCACAATCAGTTCTCTCGCTTATCTGAATAGGATAGGCAGGGAAGGCATAAAAGGGAGTGGTCAATTCCCCAACTCCGTAATCAGTCATTCGATGCTAGATCATTTCTAAGGCTTGTTATCATGAGTTTGATGGTTTAAGTCTATAAGGGCATATCAATCCTGCAAAGTCATTGACCACTCATGCGGTAAGTTGGTGAGGGGAAGGTGGTTTCTACTTTATGTTTGCTTCGGCGGCTTCCCGGAAGGCATGGACCGTATTTTAGGCGAAAGCAATAAATGGATGCTACAGTTAGAACAAACGTTCTTGGGAACTTCTCTGGTGTTCACGTAAGCGTTATTCTTGGCCTTACCTCCATTTGAACTATATGTTGTTAGGCAAATCAAATCGTTTGAGGTGCACACGGATCATCTTTCCAGATCGGAAGTGAGATGATCGGGATAAGGGATAAGGGAGGAGCACACAAGAAGGAGATTGCTTACGGGTAGGTGCAAAGTTTGATCCTAAGAAAGGGCAAGTCTTTTTTTGGTTGCTGGGTCTCCGGCATAAGCTTTCTGCATCTAAGAGTCAGACCAGTAAGACACAGTGGTCTATGAGGATGCGAGTAACCATCAAGAAAGAAATAATACAACATAACTCCAATTCATCTAAGAGAGGACAGTGGCTTCAAATGGTATGACTTACAGGTCTGATTCCACCCCCACGGGTGGGGCATTTACGGAAAACACTCGCATAGAGATGATAGGCAGTTATCGTGGAGTTAGGTTTTGGGGTGATTGAAGTCTGTTTGGTCTGCCTCTCATCCACTGGCTTTTCTCGCTTCAATCTCAGTGGCTTGGTTTTGGCGTCCTGGCTCTATGCGTTGCAAACCCGACGACTCGGTTTCAGAAGAATCATAAAATTATACTTCTTTCTTTGTGCCTGAGCTTTTTTATCAATAGTAAGAAGAAAAGAGATTCAAAACGATCTTAGGGGGAGCGTTACTTATAACAGAAAAAAATATATACTCTTTTTGCAGGCATTTCTTACTCATTTCTACTCATAATTTAGTGCCAATTAGTTAGGATTAGTTTATTTTTGGGGTAATTTTTCAGTTCAGGTATCTCAGAGGGTCAATGTAGAAAATTAGCATAAATGAGGGCCAAATTGCACAAAAAGGCATCAAAATGGGCTGGAGTGGAAGCTGCTAGAAAT